TGATCACTCACAATAGCTCACTGACCAACCAGAAAGTATACTTTAGTCTAGGACATAGCCTAGGACTAAAATAAAATAAAATAAAATACAATTCTCTTCTCCGAGGCTATGGGTCCCTACACTTGCACCAGAGGTGGTACCCCTTCACTAAAATATATTCACCAAGAGAGGCACGCCTCGCTGTGTGTGTGTGTATATATATATATATATATATATATATATATATATATATATATATATATATATATATATATATATATATATATATCCCTGGTGTATATATTTTGGTGTTAGGCTTCAGGTATATCAGCCTCTGGAGGGTTGGTGAAGCAATTCTTAAAGCTTCCTCACCAGAAAGTATACTTTAGTAAGTAAACTCTCAGTATAATATACACCGAGTAGCGGGGTTCGCCTCTGGGTGTATTTCCTTGTTTAAAACCTATATAGGCAGTGTATTGAGGTATTAACTAAAGCTTAATATATGTCAGCACTGGTCACTACTTCCGTGTTTATTGACATTGTGTCCAGGATTTATGTCCGGGTGTTGTGAAAGATGTTGTGTCGGTGTCTTGTATTGTCCATACAATACATATCTGTCCAGGTAATGTGTTTAGGTGTCCAGGCAGTATATTCACGCAATTAACACGTTCAACCCAGGTGTTTGTGTGTGTGTGTGTGTGTGTTGAACAGGATTGAACAGCTGAACAAGAATGAACACACCTCGAGTGTAGAAAGCGCTGGCAACTTCCTATCATGCGAGACATGAAGATTACACCCTTAACTTTCCGTTCCCACGACTCTTCGTCGCTTAAACAGGTGTGTGTGTTGTAGTGTGTGTGTGTGTGTGCGTGCGTGTTTGTTTGTGTGTGTGTGTGTGTGTGTGTGTGTGTGTGTGTGTGTGTGTGTGTGTGTGTGTGTGTGTGTGTGTGTGTGTGTATGTGTCCTAGGCTACATGATCCTTTAGGGTGGAGCCTCAGCTCCTAAACCCGACATTCCAAACATTAGTAGTCGAATGCAATGAACGGTGTATTGTGTACCGCTCAGTGTGTATACCTAGAAGTGGGTTACACCGCTTCTAGGTATACTCACTGAGTTTACTACAGCTCAGGACTAAAGTTCATTTATTAATCGGTCAACAATATGCCATTATCCGTCAGTAGAGACTTAACGGGATGGAGAGGAATAACGGGATAGGATGGAACAAAGAGGGAGGAAAGACACTATTGAGGAAGGAGTGAGAGGAGTGAGAGTAAGGAAGAGGGAGTGAGTGGATGGGAAAGGGAAGATATTCTTCCAAGCCAGATTAACCGTACAGTACCGGAAAGGGACAGAAGAGGAGGAGAACGGGGTCAATGGAACGGTACCCATCCACTTTGGTCCATTGGAGGGATCGGACTCCGACCCTGCCAGGTGCAAGGCCGTCACTGTACCGACCAATCCAAGTGGATGAACTAGCTTAGCGTTAAATGCATCCAGTGGGGAATGAATTCAGGTGACGGGGGTCTTACTAACAATTGAGGAATCATAGTCAGACATTGTTTATCACGTCCAAACTTGGGAGGAAGTAGAGACAGACATTGTTTAACATGGGAGGAACCAGAGAGACAGTGACTAACATGTGAGGAACCAGACAGTGACTAACATGTGAGGAACCAGACAGTGACTAACATGGGAGGAACCAGAGACAGTGACTAACATGAGAGGAACCAGAGACAGTGACTAACATGGGAGGAACCAGAGACAGTGACTAACATGAGAGGAACCAGAGACAGTGACTAACATGGGAGGAACCAGAGAGACAGTGACTGACATGAGAGGAACCAGAGACAGTGACTAACATGGGAGGAACCAGAGAGACAGTGACTAACATGAGAGGAACCAGAAAGACAGTGACTAACATGAGAGGAACCAGAGAGACAGTGACTAACATGAGAGGAACCAGAGAGACAGTGACTAACATGGGAGGAACCAGAGAGACAGTGACTAACATGAGAGGAACCAGAGAGACAGTGACTAACATGGGAGGAACCAGACAGTGACTAACATGAGAGGAACCAGAGAGACAGTGACTAACATGGGAGGAACCAGAGAGACAGTGACTAACATGGGAGGAACCAGAGAGACAGTGACTAACATGAGAGGAACCAGAGAGACAGTGACTAACATGGGAGGAACCAGAGAGACAGTGACTAACATGGGAGGAACCAGACAGTGACTAACATGAGAGGAACCAGAGAGACAGTGACTAACATGAGAGGAACCAGAGAGACAGTGACTAACATTAGAGGAACCAAAGAGACAGTGACTAACATGGGAGGAACCAGAGAGACAGTGACTAACATGTGAGGAACCAGAGAGACAGTGACTAACATGTGAGGAACCAGAGAGACAGTGACTAACATGGGAGGAACCAGAGAGACAGTGACTAACATGGGAGGAACCAGAGAGACAGTGACTAACATGAGAGGAACCAGAGAGACAGTGACTAACATGAGAGGAACCAGAGAGACAGTGACTAACATGAGAGGAACCAGAGAGACAGTGACTAACATGGGAGGAACCAGAGAGACAGTGACTGACATGAGAGGAACCAGAGACAGTGACTAACATGAGAGGAACCAGAGAGACAGTGACTAACATGAGAGGAACCAGAGAGACAGTGACTAACATGGGAGGAACCAGACAGTGACTAACATGAGAGGAACCAGACAGTGACTAACATGGGAGGAACCAGAGAGACAGTGACTAACATGGGAGGAACCAGACAGTGACTAACATGGGAGGAACCAAAAAAGAGAAAGCAGTGATGGGAACCAATTACCCAAATGAGTCACTGGAATATTACAAAAAAAGGCAAACATGGAAACATGTCAACTAAACCTCAGACTTCTATGGCAGATAAAACAGAACTTATGGACTGAAACCAGTCAACTGAAGGTAGAAAGAACACACACACACACACTCACACACACACACACACACACACACACGGCTCAGGAATCTGTACACCAGTTGATTGACAGTTGAGAGGCGGGACCAAAGAGCCAAAGCTCAACCCCCGCAAGCACAAATAGGTGAGTACACACACACACACACACACACACACACACACACACACACACACACACAAAACAGCATTTCAAACACTCCATCCGGCACAAAATGCTTTACAAAAACGCGTGTTACAACTCCGAACAATCACGACCAAGAGTCAACCTTCAATTACCCCGTTGGAGATAATTACCTCATAATGAGCAGAGTCAATTATACCCCCATGCTATAATAAGACAGGTCAGCCCCTTCCCACCCCTACTTAACCCTTTCTTCCCCCTAAAAAAACCCCTAAGAACAAATAACAAATAGAAAGCCAAAGCGCTGTTCCCCCCCCCCCCACTCCCTCACCCCCCCCTTTTAAAATATCAATGAATCTATGGTACTATTTCCCGTTAAAGAACTCGGTAAAACTCCTAATTCTATTTCCTGAAGAACTTTCAAATTTTTGTTTTGTTTATACAGATTGTTATTTGACTATTTTCGAATATGTTAAGTTTTTTATATTATTATAAATTACGAAACAATTTTTTTAGAAATCATAGGATTGTTTTTTTTTTTCTGCTTAATTGATAGAGATACATTGTTTAAAAGAGAGCAAATGGATAGAAATAAAATATAACTGCTGGAGATAAGAAAGCTAATGGATAGATAGAGCGTGATAATGGGTAGATGTAAAGAACACATATATAATAGATAATATAAATAGTGGATAGATATAATAGATATAGTGGATATGTAGATAAGTAACTATCTAAAATACATACGAATTAAGTTGAATATCGTGAAAGGGTGTATTTTAATATTTAACGGAGCATTGGAGGGTGTGCTGATGGTGGTGTTGTGGTGTGATAGTGGTGTTGTGGTGGTGTTGTGATGGTGGTGTTATGGTGGTGATGTTGTGGTGATGGTGTTGGTGTGATGGTGGTGTTGTGGTGGTGGTGGTGTTGTGGTGATGGTGTTGTGGTGGTGGTGTTGTGGTGATGGTGTTGTGGTGGTGGTGTTGTGGTGATGGTGTTGGTGTGATGGTGGTGTTGTGGTGGTGGTGTTGTGATGGTGGTGTTGTGGTGGTGGTGTTGTGGTGATGGTGTTGGTGTGATGGTGGTGTTGTGGTGATGGTGTTGTGATGGTGGTGTTGTGGTGGTGGTGTTGTGGTGGTGGTGTTGTGGTGGTGGTGTTGTGGTGATGGTGTTGGTGTGATGGTGGTGTTGTGGTGGTGGTGTTGGTGTGATGGTGGTGTTGTGGTGGTGGTGTTGGTGTGATGGTGGTGTTGTGGTGGTGGTGTTGTGGTGATGGTGGTGTTGTGTGGTGGTAGTGTTATTGTGTTATGCTGGTGTTGTGTATTAATTATTTATATGTGTAGAATCGAGCTAGTAGCTCTTGGACTCCGCCTTTCTGATGAATCTATTTTTCCTCTATTATGTCTACTACATATATATTTATCTCTAACAGGTATAGGGTGATATGTGTGATAGTGGTTTGGTGTTAGTGGTGGTGTTGTGGTAGTGGTGGTGTGGTGGTGGTGTTGTGTGATGGTGTTGTAATGGCGGTATTGTTATGATGGTATGGTGATTGTGGAGGCTATGTAACGTTGACAGTAGTGATGATGGAGATGCTGACAGTATAGAAACAACAAATATAATAATGTTTACCAGACCACACACTAGAAAGTGAAGGGACGACGACGTTTCGGTCCGTCCTGGACCATTCTCAAGTCGACAATCGACTTGAGAATGGTCCAGGACGGACCGAAACGTCGTCGTCCCTTCACCTTCTAGTGTGTGGTCTGGTCAACATACTTTAGCAACGTTATTGTGACTCATCGCCTGCATAATCATGTTTATTAATTCAACAAATATAATAACGACTCAGAAGAACAAAAGGAATCTCCTCGCGCGCCTTCAGAGGTCCGGAAGACCCGCGGAACACTAAGGAATCTGGCCACTCACGTTCAGGACGATGACGGCAATAAGGACTGCGGGGTTGGCAAGCGCGAACTGGATCTGGGACAGAATACCCGAAGCTGCTGCCGATATGGCGCCGAACTGGCGCGAGGTCCCTGCTCTTCCTTCCTGAACTATGGCGTCGCTCTCGTCCGCTACCAGTTCCGTCTGCCGGTGTAGGCTAAACGCTCTGAAGTACTTCCGGTGGGGGATATCTGCAAGTTGTACCGCTGTCTCCGTCGGTGTCCGTTCATGGTGGTACGACTGACCTGATGGCCACAGCGACCTCTTCAGACGTCTGATTATTGTGTCCCCTGATTTTTTCCAGCGCCCCAGTAGGGTGTCTTCTGATTGCGTGGGTGTACCTGAAGAGTGCTGGTTCCGGCGCCTGGGTTCGAGAATGGATTCTCCGACAGTCCTAGTATTCGTAGAAACGGTTCCCTCAGCCTCGGGATGATGATCCTGACCCAGATCTCCTTTCTTGCGTTTGGGAAGCTTTGTCTTCTTCACGGCAAAGTACTGCACCGGGGCGAAATTTCTACTCGAGTTCTTTACGTCACCAAACACCAATTCCTTGGGAACGTAGTCGATTCTAACTTGAGGCTTCGAGGATTCTTCCTGGCCTTTGTGCTTGGCGGGAGACACGTACACCAGCACGGCCATATCCTCGATCTTCTTCTCTTTCGGGAGAGTGCCAGGCATCAGCCTCATGTTCTTGTCTGAGGAGTAGTCCGCTGTGGTGCTGAGCAGGTCTCTGGCTGCCCGGGCGGCGCCCTTCCCGCTGTATAGCTCCAGGGCTCTGAGTAACTGGGTCAGAAGGACATCCTTCTTCACTGTCACGTCCGCCACTGCTGGCGCCATTGCTTGCGTGAGTGCGTGCAGGCACACGCACGTGATAACACACGCGATCCATACCTTCGACAACATCTTACTGGGTTTTCCCACTTGACACTTTCAAAACTCAGGAAATATGTTTCAGAATTTTTCCCCTTCTGTGTCGTCTGCCAAATGCTGTGATTACTTCTAGATCAGTTTTCTCTTAAACCTTTCGAGATTCTAATTCTCATTACCAAACTCGCGCTAACTACCTCCGAATCCTTTTAAGGGGATCCACAGCTGGCGATCAAGACTCTAGCATTCAAATGCCTCCAGAGTTAGTATAGAGGTGTGCAGTAGGGCCCCGCGGTCGGCGTCGACGGTAGAGTCAGCCATGCAGCGACGCTCTACATTCCCCGACAGATTATGGTGTCGGCCGGACCTGAATCGAGAACAGTAATCGCCGAGCTTACTCACCCACTCACTCCTTTCGCTTTTTTATGGGTGTTTGCTCGGCTCAATCTCTCTCTTGCTACTCCTTGTGTTTTAGTTCACCCTTCGCTAACACGGGCTCTAATACAGTTGTTAGCATTCCAATTTATTAGTATTGATCTTCGTAGAGTTTTGGTGCTTTGAGCCCCTTTTTGGTAATGCTCTTGGGGCTTTTATGGGTATATCTTTGTCTGGAAGCCACTTAGTTGCTCTATAAATCCTCTTTACCAAATTATTTGAATTCCATTTTTTCCCTAGACGTTCAGTCGATTTTAATCCAAAAACCTCCCACCTTTTTTACACTTTCCTTATGTTATTATCTTCTGCCTATCTCACTTACACACGTTTTCTATATGTATATCTGTTCATGCGCCTATGAATGAATAAAATGGCGGCGGAAGACTCTCCACTCGGGCGACTGGTGTGGGAACGGTGTTCCTGTACTTGTACTGCGTCAGTCACACTCACTAGTGAACGTGAGGTTCCATCATTCACAATAGACTAATGTTCCCAGGCAACCAACCACGTTTTCTAACATACAAGTAAGCACTTGTTTCACCCGATCGGAACGTTTTCTATAGCCTTGGTAACCCAGCCCAAACGTTTGGCGATTTTTGCTCTAGATCTTGGACTCCAATTGTCGTCTACCTAATCAATGTAGGTCAATATTCGAAATCAATATAGCTAATATATTCAGTTTGTTTTAATGCGTTATTTGATTAAATGACTAACATTTCAGCTTTGTGTAGTAATTATTAATTAATATTACATTAAGGCGTTTACTGTTTCAATTCTTCAGCAACTTTTTTTTTCGCAGATTTACCAGCGTTTAGTGAAAATATTTTCGCTCTTAGGGTGTTTAATTTGAAAGGAATTTATGTTCAATTCGTTTTCGACGGCAGCCTAGTGTTGCAATTGAGCACTTTTGAACTTGAACAGTGATATGCACACACCAGGTATAGTATTACACCGAACACCGGTCTCGTTTTCTGACTGGTCTCTCACTACTGGTATCTCTACAGCAGGTCACACACGGTCTGACAGTCCTCTCTGGTCCAGGAGGCTCTTCAAATTTCGAAGAGTGACCGCGGAAACACACAAGATTTGAGTTGTATGGTCTGGTCTAGACTAGATTGGATGCAAAGTTCCAAAGCGAGACCACACACAATCGTTAGATATTTTGGTCTTCTTTGGTCTCACAATCACCAAGCGTGACCACACGCACACACACACAGGCGAGTGCTGGTTCCGTGTGCTCTGCTCCGTCGACGGCTTGAGACTGACGTCCTGAGAGACTCTAGTCTAAAACCTCCACTCCCTTGTTGGCTTTCCTCGTACTGACACACCCACCCACCCACCCCACCCCACCTGCCCATCTGTGTTCCCGCCCACATCAAGCGAAACCTTCACATTGCAATACAAGCCTCTCCTCACCACATATATCTCTTCATTGTTTGCTTCTAAATTCTCCTGTTCGTACCCCAGTAGATGAAATACTTGTTTTAAGCACACTAAATTCAGTACACACTTTTAAGTGTAGGAATGATAAGAACGAAAAAAAATAAAACAGCTGAAATCGTTTGAAAGGCGAGGCTAAAGAGTTGACACCTCAACTCTCCAAAACACATCTATGTGTGAGCACATTCAGGTGATCACAAACATTCACACGCAAGTTCTTGGTGACTAAGCTCGTGATTGTAATAAACTCACATTATTCTGAGTTTACATGGCAGATACGTCTTAAGAAGAGTACCCCATCACGGCCCTGAGGAGTTTGGCCTCATTTTTCTTCTTTGCGCAATTTCTTTCCTCCGTAGGCAGTAGGAAAAGTATGTAAATTTCTAATACTCTTACAAACTTTCTGTGTAAAACGGCAACAGGTGTTTTGCTATCATTATTTTTTAATTAATGTTAATTATTTTATTATTATTATTATTATTATTGTATAGTAGATATTGCTGCTATTGTTGTCCTCGCTTATCTCACTATAGAAGAACACACAGGCGCGGAAAAGCACACGGGAGACATCTCCCGTCACGCAGGGTGCAGTCGCACCTCCACAGATCTCCAGTATCAGCTCTTGATACTGGTAATGACTCAAAAGGGCCACCACTTACGGGCTATTCATGCCCGTGCCACCTTTTGGGTGGCTTAATCTTCGTCAATCAATCAATCGGGAAAGCAAATAGGAGGAGATGAGAAGGTTGAGGACCATGAGAGAGTGTGGTGAGAGCCACCATGAAAGAGTGATGAGAGCCACCATGAGAGAGTGGTGAGAGCTACCATGAGAGAGTGGTGAGAGCTACCATGAGAGAGTGGTGAGAGCTACCATGAGAGAGTGGTGAGAGCCACCATGAGAGAGTGGTGAGAGCCACCATGAGTGGTGAGAGCCACCATGAGAGAGTGATGAGAGCCACCATGAGAGAGTGGTGAGAGCCACCATGAGAGTGTGGTGAGAGCCACCATGAGAGAGTGGTGAGAGCCACCATGAGAGAGTGGTGAGAGCCACCATGAGTGGTGAGAGCCACCATGAGAGAGTGGTGAGAGCCACCATGAGAGTGGTGAGAGCCACCATGAGTGGTGAGAGCCACCATGAGAGAGTGGTGAGAGCCACCATGAGTGGTGAGAGCCACCATGAGAGTGGTGAGAGCCACCATGAGAGAGTGATGAGAGCCACCATGAGAGAGTGATGAGAGCCACCATGAGAGAGTGGTGAGAGCCGCCATGAGAGAGTGGTGAGAGCCACCATGAGAGAGTGGTGAGAGCCACCATGAGAGTGGTGAGAGCCACCATGAGAGAGTGATGAGAGCCACCATGAGAGAGTGATGAGAGCCACCATGAGAGAGTGGTGAGAGCCGCCATGAGAGAGTGGTGAGAGCCACCATGAGAGTGTGGTGAGAGCCACCATGAGAGAGTGGTGAGAGCCAGCAAGGTAGAGACCCGCTGGAGCCTTGCACGCTCCAAAGATAGTGAGACTTGACCAGAACACGTGAAGCATTTATGCAATCATTTACGAAACCTGTACATTTTCCTTAATCGCTCCTCTTTAAACGAGATCAATATTTTTTTTTGGGGGGGGGGGGGGGGTGGGGGGGGACAAAGCCAACAAATGGCTTTGTTGACATTTGTTGAAAATTTTACGAGCTTGGAAACCACACAAGCCAAAGTAGTTGTTTATATAAACAACCTATTAGTTCTTCGGAGCTCATATAGAATGTTAATTGAATGGAAACAAGGCTGTCATGATTAATGAAAGATGAAGAGGTTTCGTAAGTGGATGAGTAAATGTTTGATGAACTATAAGGGTACTAAACAAGGTGGCGACACCACTGTTCAAGCCACTGAGCCAAGTGTTACAGCAGCA